GCTTCCCAGTTTCAGCTTCCCCAGTTTCAGCTTCCCAGTTTCAGCTTCCCAGTTTCAGCTTCCCTAGTTCCAGCTTCCCCAGTTCCAGCTTCCCAGTTTCAGCTTCCCAGTTTCAGCTTCCCAGTTTCAGCTTCCCAGTTTCAGCTTCCCCAGTTCCAGCTTCTAATCGTAAAAACAAAGAGAAAAAATTTTGCACAAAAATGGAAATGTCTAAAAGCAGTTTAATTCAAAGGCAGAAAATTTTTTTGAAATAATTTAAGATGTTGTAAATTGCCATTGTTGTAACCTTGTTGCAGCATCTATATATTAATTTCTTAATAATAAGATTTTTGAAAATTTTCTAATTGTATAATTTTATAATATTATAATTACAGTTGTATAATTTTCTAATAAAATATTTCCTTATAGTTTATTATTATTTCCATAATGAATTCAACCTAAAAGTTTAACAGTAAATTTCTCATAAAAGGTAATTTTGAGATGTTACGGTTTTGCATTTGTACAGCGATATGAAAATTGTATTTATAGTAAATATGCTTAATTAACTATTCACATATATGTGATTAATACTGAAAAACTTATTAGTGCAATTTTGCAATTAATTGCAATTTTGTTCTTGTAACTAAATATTATTTTAAAAAATAACAACTAGAAAAAAAAAGTTTTTTTATTGTTACAATATTTTAAAAACAAAAAGTATTATTAATCAAAACCAAAATTGTGGTTCAAAATATAAATTAAAATTAAATGAAACCTATGCATAAAACATCTGAAACACCTGCAAACGAGGAAAGTATGAATACTAAATTTATTTAAAAAACTTTTTGAAAATTATCAATCAAACAAAAAATTTTAAAAACGAAAAGAAATTAAATTACTATACAATACACGCAGAACAATCTACGCAGAACAATCCACGCAGAACAATCCACCCAGAACAATCCACGCAGAACAATCCACGCAGAACAATCCACGCAGAACAATCCATGCAGTACAATCCACGCAGTACAATCCAAGCAGAACAATCCACACAGAACAATCCACACACAACAATCCACGCAGAACAAACGCTAAACAGTAAGATAAGATATTAAAAATAAACAATACCATAATTTTAATACGAAATAAAAATTAGATGATCAAGACAAAAATAAGTAGTGATGGCTTTTTCGGTTTGGTTATTTTAGTTTTTGAGATTGTTTTCAAAGAGATATTCAACTTTAAGGTTTTTTTTTCTAATAAATTTTTTTAATAACAATCGTTTATATCTATTTTTGAATTTTTCTAGAGAAGGTTAGAAGAGTTTTTTTTCAACATTGAATGGCCCTCAACATTGAATTTGAAATGTATGGCCTGCAATATTGAATTTGAAATAAACTGAGTTTTACATAAGAATGAAAAATTTATCGTATTTACTCAACAAAATTTATTTAAAATATTGTGAAGTATTTATAAGAAATTTTGGTAAACTAGGAGTAAAAGATATATAGGAGATACATAAGATATATAGGAGATAAACCATGTTTTGATTGAAACATGAACAGCTTAACTTGGTATATATTAAGCTTATTATCATTGAGTTCCTTATAAACAATAAATTTCTTTAAAAGAGATTCTTCATTAAGAGTTTTGTTAACGCCAAATATTATCCTGCATGCAAGAATTTTGTTTACCGTAAATATTTTTAAGTTTTCTATAGTTGGTACTTCCCCATGCATTATTGCAATAGCAAAGATAATTACGAATAAAAGAAAAAATACTATTCATATATAGTAAATCTTATTAATACAAGGAATCAAAATATATGGAATAATGTAATTAGTAATGGAAACGCCAGACTATCTTAACATATAATTAAAAAAAAATGTCAGGAGGTAATTAAGGAGCAAAAGAATTTCCCATATAATAATACTAAACTGCCATAAAATAATAATCTCTTTTTTTAAAGACTCAATATTTAGAAATGGTTTAACTCAATAAAGCACAGATATATTTTAGAGATTTTATTTTCAATTGATTCAATAAGAGATTTTTATGATATATTTTCATCTAATATCACTCCAAGGAAGTTGGATTTTTGATAGCTATTGATCATAAAGGGAATAGAAATTTTTAATGGATGGTACTTACTAAGTTTGTGAAAATTTAGTTTTCGACTTAACGAAAGTTTTTAACTTTTAATCTACTCATTAATTTTTAATAATTCTTTATTTAAAATTCTTTATTTAAAATTCTTTATTTAAAATTCTTTATTTAAAATTCTCTATTTAAAATTCTTTATTTAAAATTCTTTATTTAAAATTCTTTATTTAAAATTCTTTATTTAAAATTCTTTATTTAAAATTTATCCAGGTTTTTAATATTATTGTTTGAGTAAAAAAGATTAGAGTTTTCCGTAAAATAAATAAAATATCAAAATTTAGATGGTATTTATAAATCATTTATATTAAGTAGGAATACTAATGGTCCTAAAATTGATACTTGGGGAACATCACAAGTTAAAATGTGTTTATTAGTTTTATTAACTCTATATACTATGTATTGTTTTCTGTTTTATATTTCTCAAGGTTAAATCCTTGGCCCTATACTCTTTTAAATAAAAATTAACGATCTCCTAGAAATTCTTACATATAAGGTGGCATTGTTTGATGATGATGTTACCATTTATATCTGTCTTGATAAGAAGCCAACACTCTTGGACTGCTTGAAGGGAAAATTTGAGCATGAAAAGAATCTCACTTCTGCTGTAGCATGGAGCTCTCAGTGGCTGGTGAACCTCAACTCAGATAGAGCTCAGTTTTTTTCAGCTAATTGTTATCGCATTACTATAGATCTTTCTACATTTATGAACAATAATTTACTTGATGAGTCATCTACCCTTCGTCTTCTAGGATTGACTTTTACTTCTAAACTTTCTTGGAAATCATATATTAAATCCGTTGCAAAATTAACATCTGCTAAGGTTGCATCTCTTTATTGTGCTCGACACTTTCTTACTGCGGATTCTATTCTTTATCTCAATAAATCTCAAATCTGTCCTTGTATGGAAAACTGTTGTCATTTCTAGATCGGATCTTCCAGTGATGCCTGTTATCTTTTAGATAAGGTGCAAAAACGCATTGTAAACATTGTTGGAGCTGCTCTTGCAGCCAACCTCCAACCATTATCACATCGTTGTAATGTTGCTTCTCTTTCTCTTTTCTATAAATACTATAATAGGGACTGCTCTAAAGAGCTAGCGTCTCTTGTGCCATCTACTAAAACTCATTCTCATGTTACTATTTTATCAAGTTTCATCCCTCTACTGTAACTGTTTCTAAGTGCTCCAAAAGGTCTTATTCATCTAGTTTTTTTCCTCGAACATCAGATCTTTTGAATTAGCTTCCTTAATCTTTATTTCCTGACATAATTTGCAATCTTCTAAGTTGCCTGTTAATCGTTATTTTGCTTTAAAAACTTCATTGTTTCTCTTCCCGTAACTTCCAGCTCTAATAGTGTTTGCTTGCAGTATTGTTGGAAGTGAAGACTTTTAAAAAATAAAAATAAAAAAACTTAGGCCATATAAAAATGTTTTACCAAAAGTTGCACTTATTAGAGCTTGGTAAAAAAACCACCCAACATGCATCACTCGTCAATATGGGGGGAAAAATGTTTTTTTCAAAATATTAATATAATTTATTTAACTAGATAAAAAAATATTTAGGAATTTAAAATTTTTTTGTTTCATTAATTTAAGCATAATACAAAAGCTCATCGGAAAAATTAAAAGCTGACAAAGCATACTGCGCAAAACAAAACTATGTTTAGAAAAAAGTACCCATATAAAGTTATTTAGTACCCATATAAAGTTATTTAGTACCCAAATAAAGTTATTTAGTACCCAAATAAAGTTATTTAGTACCCATATAAAGTTATTTAGTACCCATATAAAGTTATTTAGTACCCATATAAAATTATTTAGTACCCATATAAAGTTATTTAGTACCCATATAAAGTTATTTAGTACCCAAATAAAGTTATTTAGTACCCATATAAAGTTATTTAACACCCATATAAAGTTATTTAGTACCCATATAAAGTTATTTAATACCCATATAAAGTTATTTAGTACTCATATAAAGTTATTTATGTAAAAAATGTTATTTTGAGGAGAATATTAACTTATAACTTTTGAGCGCCAAATGATTTTTTTATGAAGCCTTAAAAGTTTTTTTAACAAGCCTGAAATTATTTTTTTTTCAGTAATTAAATGTATATAAAAAAATGTAGTCTTGTAACTAATGAATTAACAAAATGTAGTCTAGTAGCTAACCTTTTTTTGAAATCTCATTTTTGAGTTTTATTTCCAAGCTCTAAAAAGCGCAATTTAAGCAAAACATCCATATATGACATATATATAAACATATATAAGTTCAAAATTTAGAATTTACCTGAAATTTTCTTAACTCAAATACTAAGGAATTCCTGGAACTCGTGTTAAAATTTACACACTTATTGTGGGTAATTTAAACCAATGATCGGTTTAAATTAGAAATGGAATTTAGCTAAGCATACCACATTTTAAATTGAATAAGATTTTTGATTACTTATCGTAATTCAGTTATTATTCTACGAATATTTTTATGACGTTATTTTTTAAATAAGTTTATGCGTTATAAATGTTTTTCTTTATCGTAAATTTATGTGTTTTACATTATTTTTACTGTATTACTTTTTTTTATTTTTTTTATAACCATTTTCATTTATTTTTGTAATTTTTTTTTCATTTTAAAGTTTATTGAATCAATTAAAAGTAAGTAAAAATAACTGTAATTAATATATAGTAATTACATACATGTCGCAATTCTTTCGCTAGATCGGTATAAAATTGTTTTTAAAAGTTTTAATAACTACGAGTAATTTATTTTATTCAAATAATGGAATGCTTTATAATAGAATAAATTATCTGTTTGCAACTATTTATAAGCTTAAAGAAACAAAAACATATTTTTCTTACTTGTCAGTCGAATCGTGGATTAGTTTTTATGTTCGTTACAATATTAATAAAGTTCATTCATATATATTTGTTTACTTACTTAAAAAAAGTATTTAAAATAATTTTTTAACTATTTAAAATTTTTACAAAGGTAAACAACAAAGTCTATAATCGTCATCAAACAAATTCAAAAAGTAAGTTAAAACCTGTTACTACTTATTGTTCTATTTTGATATTTTTCATAAAAAATTATAAAGTTAAATTTCTAAAAACAAGAATGTTAAATCATACAAATTTAATGTTAATATAATGCCCAAATTAACTTTAAGTTGGTATCCTAAAAGTTAAATGTGGAACATATATGGCAACTGAATATTAACCACATATTTAGAAACAACTCTACTGCTGTGTGTGTGTTGTAGTAGTTGTGGTGGAGGTGGTATGTGTTTGTATTTTTTTATGTGTGTGAATGGGGGAGGGAGAGGGAAGTGCGGGGAAGTGGGAAATGAGCTAGCGATCGCTTAGCGATTTTCATACACTTTTTTTTTCTTATTTCATTTTTCTCTAATGCCTTTAACTTCACTAAAAGTTCGATTTTTAGCGTTGAGGCTATTATAATTATGAGAATAATTAAACTTTAAACATTGTGATTTTGTAGCAATGCGTCGCTAGCTACAAATTGTAGCTTTGTAGCTAGCTACAAAGTGTCTGCAAATCTATAGCTGGTTGATAGCTATATATTAAAATTTTTTGACAGCAATTTTATTACAATATGACACCAGCTACAATAGTCAGTTGTTCTTTAGCTTATTAGGCAAGTTTTTTTCGTGGCCTAATTGCTGTCTTTATTCGCTAGACGATTTTCCACCAGGTTTTATTTTGTTAACTCATTTTTATAGTTTTTTAAGAGAATTTGTTTTAGTTATTTAGTTGCTCTAAGAAGTTCTAACTGTTTAATCACAGAGCACTCTGTAATCACAAAGCACTCTGTAATCACAGAGCACTCTGTAATCACAGAGCACTCTGCAATCACAGAGCACTCTGTAATCACAAAGCACTCTGTAATCACAGAGCACTCTGTAATCACAGAGCACTCTGTAATCACAGAGCACTTTGTAATCACAGAGCACTCTGTAATCACAGAGCACTCTGTAATCACAGAGCACTCTGTAATCACAGAGCACTCTTTAATAACAGAGCACTCTGTAATCACAGAGCACTCTGTAATTGCATTTGACCAGGAAGTTTACGACTCATTCCTTACCAATGATGTATATATGGTCAGAGCCGGCTACAATTCTCTAGTTCTTAAACTAGAACTCTAACCAACACAATACGGCTACTATTTTCATGCCTGCATTTAGAATTCAATTCTTATTTCTATTAACTAAACATTTTTGGCTTGCGTGTATAATTATTTCAAATTTATCTTATACACATAATATACATTTTTTTTGAAAAATTTTAATACGCAAATGCCACCTAATAGTTCAACCTATCCAATATAGAACAGTTCAATATAGCAGCCGCAGCACTATGATTAGCGCGGTTGCCTCAGAAGCAAGAGATCCGAGGTTCAACGTCACCTATGGGCAAGTTTAATAACATCCGTAAGGAAGGAGGTAAAAACATCTTTTCAAATGCTCGTGATAAGACCGTAAAGATGTTGTGATGTAGTATTATAATTACCCCAAATCAAAGTGGGAAGTTTGCTCAGCGGCAAGTCAGAATGGTGCCTCTGCGTTGAAAAAGGAAAATTTTGATATGTAGTTTGTAACCTTTCAAAAAAGGTTTTATTTAAATTTTATAAATTCTTACCAACTGTTTGAACTATCAAGAAGTAATAGCAACAAAAATCACGACCTGCATAAAGTAATTGGTAATTGAATACCTCGAAGTTTTAGACAATCTCTACGACTTGTTTGAACCGTTTCTTTTGCATTCCCGTTTAGCTGTAGATTTGTTACGTTCTTAAAGAACTTTTTTTTGGCAAGGAACTTATATATTTCTAGGATTTTATTTTGTGTTGTAGTATTTTTCGTTAAACTTAAAAAAAAAATGCTTTAATTTTAATATAGGGGTATAAAATACCTTTTTGTAAATCCAGCAAAAAAACTAGCAATTGTTATCTAAACATTTACTATTTCACTTCTTATCTAGAAATCTTTTAATCGTTTTTAAAATACAACATATAAAATAAAAATGAACTAACTTTAAATATTGTTTATGAATTTTTCTAAACTTTTAATATTTTTTGCAATTATTTGATTCGTTATCACATAATTTGAAATAATATCATTGAATAGTTTTTTTGAAGTAAAATGTGATTGGTTAAATTAAAATTAAAATAATACGCAGTATTTAATTAAAAATAATTTTACTACTATTAAAGAAATTCCTTGTAAATTTACGTATTTTACCTTTGTTTCCAAACCAGCGATATATAACTCTTAAATAAAATCATCAAGCATCATAAAGCATTCGTGGTGCAGTGTTTAGATTTCTAGCCTCAGAAATGGAGGACCGTGGTTTAAAGCCTGCTCTGGCCATATATGCATTTTTGGTAAATAAGTAGGCGCAAACGTCCTGGTTAACAGATCACCAACAATACCATGTAACCAAAATTGGAGCACCTATATAACTAAATAAACTAAAATAACTATTTGAAAAAAAAAATTCATATACCTTTCATTTCTCATATATAGGAAATGTACAAATACGTATTTGTACAGCATTGTGTCTTTTAAGGACTTTTTTTTTAAGGCTTGCTTATGATTGGCAAAACGTTTTTACATTCATCCTCTCCTAAGTCTCTGTTAAGTCAAATTATCAGGTACACTCTTTAAAAAAAAACACATTTATATACCTCGTTTTTTGATAAATATTTTTCAATTATTAGGCAAATTTTTTTTGTTTTGTTTACAATTATGATTTTCTGTAACTTTTTCATTTAGAATTTCTTTTATGTTTAACAAAGCATCATTGGCCTTTTATAATTTGTTTTTACATTTTTAGTGCAACTGTAACTAACTTTTATTGTATTTTAATTAAATTTCTATGAAATTTATTTGAGAATAAGACTTAAATAAAGATTTTATTTGAAAAATCTGCTAAATATTCTTTATTTGTAATATATTTCGATAAATGTTCCATTCAATATAATTAATTTGAAGATTTGTTTAAGATAACTAACATGTTTTTGAATTTTAATTTTTATTCTTTTATTTTAATATTAAGTTTTTCAAATATAAAAATAGTTTATGGGTTAAACAAAATGTCTTTTTTTTTAATAATAAAAAAAGTATAAATAAGGGAAAGTTAGAGTGGGAGGAGAGAGGGGTACAATTTAGAAATAAATACTATCATTTTGAATTTTTTAAAGTTTAAATCAATTGTTAGTTAAGCATTTTCAAACTAAGCATTTAGACAACACGCAACTTAAAACTTAAATTATTTTTTTTTTCAATTAGAATATTTTAGGCTCTTTTGATTAGGTGCAGTAAAAAAAAATGTTTTAAGTTTATTTTGCCTAACTGTAGAAAAGTGGTGTATTCGTATCAGAAATATTTTGTAAAGATTGTGATGCTCTAGGAAGTTATTACAAGACGCTTCTACAAATCTGAAATCTCCGAAAAAGTGGCCCTAATCCAATACCAAACTGCTAAGCTTATGTAAAAGTTTTATTATGAAGAATTTCGCGATTATACTGCTAAAAATATTCGTGTAGGTGTGAAAATATCAAATGACAATGTTTGTCAGTGGACCGTATTTTCTTATATTTTGTTTCATGAAATTCTTAATAATGTCTGCCAGACACCACTCTGCAATATTTTAATGTTAATATCAGAGTCATTTAACTTTAATTTGGAAAAGAAACATTCTATTTCACTTTCAAACAATCTTTGATTATCAGCTTTCAAAGTAAACCTATTGTGTGTGTGTTTCTTACTTATGATGTTGTGTGTGTGCGTTTTACTTATGATATTGTGTGTGTTTTTTACTTATGATATTGTGTGTGTGTTTTTCACTCATGACAACTATTAAGTTACTTATATTATTTGTTTAATGATTTTGGTAAAAAATTTAGCATTATAATCTATATCTATGAAATATTTTTAGACTTAGTTACAAATATTGTTGTTACTAAATATTTTCAGTTTATGGTTTTTTTGAAACTTCAGCATTTTAAAATTTACAATATTATATATTTTTTTGTGGCCTCTATTTTTGTAGTTTGGTAAAAGATTTTGCATCTTAAAGCAGAATAAAGTATTGTTTAAGTAAACAAAGTTTTATGGCTAAGGAATGTTATTTTATCTTTCTTGTAAGCTTGTTATGATTAAATAGGTTTTAGTTATTAACTAAAATAAATAGGTTAGCTGTATTTTACTCACACTAAACGGAAAAGCTTTTTTACTAGCAAATGTTTATGCTGCACTTAACTTTTCCTTAGTTGTTGTTGTTTTTTTATTTGCCTCTAGCCCCAGGCTCCGATTTATGTGTTTACGAGGCCTGTTAGTATGGACGGCCATGCATCAACGTCAATATCTTTTTAATTGTTTTTCTTTTAAATACAAAAAATAAATATCAGTAAAGGATCCAGGATTTTTTAGTTTTTGAGATAACTTCCAGACATGGAGCAAACTCCAAACATTTGTATGTTGATGCTTGTGTTGAATAATGATGTTTTGCAAAAAATTGCGGTGATTGGAGACTGGGAACAAAAAACCTTTAATTTCATCAAAAACATGAGGGGTTATGAAAGTTTCTAAAATATTTTTTGTACTATTCTAAACTAGACTTATATTCATCAATAAATTTTAAGTTTCAAAGTACCATCTCTCAGCGTTCAAAAATTAATACTATATAAAGTTTAAACCCACCTTAGTTTGAGGGGGTTACAAATTTAATTATATATATATATATATTTTTTTGTCCTTTATTACAATATTTACTACAATATTTACAAATATATCAATAAGAAAAATTACATGCGAAGAAACCTTTAAAAAATAAAGAATAAAGATTAAGAACGCGGATACTCAAAGAAGACCATACCGGTCTTGTCACCGAGAACCGCTGTTGAAGAACTTTGAACTTAATTTAGATTTTAGAAAAAACAAAAATGAATAAATACAAATTTAAACTTTTTTTTAGTTATGGTCTTTATGGCTTGAATTAAAATACTAATTTT